CAAGTATTTTTTTTAAATTAATTGACTAATATGTGTATATAATTGGTGGTTTTAATTGTCACTGAGGTACTTTTTGACTTCCTGAACACTCAAAAAATATTGAAAAAAACATGAAATGATGCTAAGCCAACCCAGGATCATGACATTCTCTGCAGCCAGATTGCCATGGGATCCTGCTGAGCATCACCTTGTGGCCTCCTGGACATTTGATGTTTGGCTCTCTGAGGTACCTGGGGTAGATCACAATGTCTTCATCAGCATGGTCCAACTCCTCTCCCCCAAAGATTTCTGAGAGCTTGATCTCTTCTGGCTCATCAGGAATAAGCTGAGCATGTCTTGGACCACCCTCACAAGTGAATCTGGTGTTGGCTGGGATGGTGTCTAAGACTTTGCTGTAAACTGAGGGGCCTTTTCTGCCCTTCATAGCTTTGCCTTCTTGAATCATACATCCTAAGATGGGGTCTCTGCCGGAGAAGGCTGGGGCATGGATTCTGCCTGTTTCTGAGTGCTGGCCTTTGCCCCAGCTTGTGCTATAGCCTGGGTCTTTGCCATGGCCTTTGCCTTTGCCTGAGTCTTTGCCATAGCCTTTCTCTTTTCCTGAGTCTTTGCCATAGCCTTTCTCTTTTCCTGAGTCTTTGCCATAGCCTTTCTCTTTTCCTGGGTCTTTGCCAAAGCCTTTGCCATAATAGCCTTGGTCTTTGCCTGAGTCTTTGCCTGAGTCTTTGCCCCACCATTTGCCTGAGCCTTTGCCCCTAGGCAAAATCAAGCCAGCTTCATCTTGGCCACCCATGGCTTGCAAGAAGTGCAGCTGAGTTGGCAGAAATCACACTGAGATCAAAGCAGCTGAGGAATCACATAGACATGCACATATAAAAATGCTACACTTTCATTTGTTAATTAATCAATTAGTTAGCTAATTAGCAAATTATTTGATGTCAACATTAATTAGTTAATTACTGATAAAACTGACCAAAAGTCTAAGATTATGGCCAATCCCACACCACCAGAAACACCCTTCAGTCCTCTAGGGCTCTTCAGTCTTGGCCTTCTTGGACTTGGGCTCAGCATCTGATGATGGTGGATCTGATGCTGCTTCATCATTCTGCTCAGAGTCACCAAAGACCTGAGAGTCATCATCCTGCTGAGAGTCACCAAAGACCTGAGAGTCATCATCCTGCTGAGAGTCACCAAAGACCTGAGAGTCATCAGCATGCTGAGAGTCCTCAGTGACCTGCTGGGGCATCCTGCTGAGCACTTTGTCCCTGATCTCAGCAAGCTCCTCCTTGATCACATCAGCCCTGAGGTTCTCAATGTTCTGGCAATGCTGGACCCACTGATGCTGCCTGACCTCCACAAGTGCCAGCATGTTGAGCAGCTCAGCCTTGCACTTGATGAGGTTGAATCCATTTCCCTGAGACTGTCCACTGAGGGAGGCATGCACCTTGTGTTAAACAAATTGGCTAATATGTGTTAAACAAATTGGCTAATTAATTATGCAATCAAATAATTCCAACAATTAACCTGCAGAAGAAGCCTCCACATCCCTTCAGATCTGCACACGTTTTTCCTTCATTCAAGCTGCATGGATTGCTTCTGAAAGCAAATTTAAAAAGGACACTGAGATTTCACTCAGTGATGTTCCATCTGCCTGAGGCAGCTACTTATCCTCATCATTCTGAGATTTTGTTTCTTAGCTGGAGGACTGAGCAAATAGACAGCCCTGTCCCTTGGGATCTGGTACTTCTCTATGAAATCTTCAAGTTTCTGAGTCATGAAAGCATCCTGAGCCTCCTGGGCCTCCCTCTCAGCTTTTTCAGCCTCCTGCTGAGCCTCCTCCTCAGCTAGTACTGCCTCTTTCATTAAAAGCATGTTCTCATGGGTTCCTTGGAAAGCAATGATGCTGTTTGAAATCTCCTGAGACACATCTTCCATCAAGCTGAGATCAGTCTTCAGTCTGGCCACAGTCCTTTCCTGCATTTTCTGAGCTTGTTCCATCAATTCTATGCATTCTTGGAGCTCATCCATGTGAACTAACAGGTCCTCCAGAGGTTGATCATTCATGGAAGCATCTGAGAGAAGCAGAGCCATTGCTGAGCACCTACCCCCAGGATCCATCTGCTGGAGCTGGCTGAAGTAGTATGCTTCACCACTATGACACTCACTGGCCTGAGGTGGATCAGCTGGCCTTGCCTTAGGCATCACTGGTGTGCCTAGAGGCTCAGGAGGACGCTGAGAAGATGAAGGCCTAGAAGCAGAAGGATCTTCCATGAACTGAGCCTTACCATAATCTGCCTTCACTGACTTAGCCCATGGCAATGGATCCATGCTGAGAATCCTGGTGTAGTACCACTGGATCACCCACTGAGGCCATCCATCTGAGCCCTCAATGCAAGCTGCTTTGAATGAAAAAAAAAAGTAGACTGTAATTGATCAATTAATTCATGATGTTACCAAGTAATGAATTGCTCAATTAATTAATTAATTGGCTAATTGATTAATTAATTAATTATATGATTAATGTTGTTTACTTAGTTTTGAACTGTCACTGAGGTACTTGTAATTAGCAGTAATACTTTAGTTCAAAGCACATAAAAATCAGGAACAAAAAACAGGTAAACAAAAATAACATTATTCTAAGTCCACCCAGGAACTCTGCATTTGCCACATCCTGACTGCCAAGGAATTCTGCTGAGAAAAATGTCAGCTCCACAGGAACCACAGGCAACCTTAGGCTCATCCAAGTACCTGGGGTACTTGACCATAACCTCCTTATCCTGATTCTGGAACAGCTCAGAGATGTAAGGTCTCTTAGGATCACATGGTTGCACCAACTGAGCATGCTTTCCATTCTCTGATCTATACACCATTCCAGCAGGAATAGTGCTAAGGAGTTGCTGAGGTACCCAGGGCCCATATCTGCCCTCAGCATCCTTTTTTCCTGAGCCTTGGGCAGCTGTCTTCTGCTGCCAAGGGTGATTCTGCTGACTAGCAGCAGTGTTTGAACTCATGGCTTGCAAGAAGTGCAGCTGAGTTGGTGGAAATCGCACTGAGATCAAAGCAGCTGAGGAATCACATAGACATGCATAATTCAACACCATGCAAGCAAAATATCTAGTTGACTAATTCATTTATTACAATTATATATAATGAATCAATAAATGTATAGTTATTGAATATGATGCATGTGCAAGTAATTATAAGAAACTTACACATGCATAAGCATGCATTACTGATCAAGATTGCCACAAGTCTGAGGCCATGGTCAAGCTGAGCACCAATCCTACCCCACCAGAGACACCCTTCAGTCCTCTGGAGCTAAGTGATCTCATGGTGCTGAGTGATTCCAGCATGCTCTTCAGCAGCACCATTGCTGAGAAAATCAACACAGTTGGATCTGAGCCTTCACAAGCTTTGGTATATAACATCAAAACTAAGTAAAGATTTTCCAAAGGATGAGTTTCAGCCAACCAAAAAAAAACATGAATGATCATGATACAAAATAGTATGGTTTGTTTGAGGGTACACTATTGTGTCCAGCTGCTTCCTCAGGTTATATTTTTTTCCAGCATTTCCTTTCCCTTTTCCTTTACTAAAGTTTGTTTCCTTTTACTTAGCTTCATTCTTCTTGGAATCAAAACCAAAGGCTTTCCAAAGGATTAGTTTCAGCCAACCAAAAAAAACATGAATGATCATGATACACAATAGTATGGTTTGTTTGAGGGTACACTATTGTGTCCAGCTGCTTCCTGAGGTGATTTTGTTTTTTTAACATTCCCTTTACATTTTCCTTTGCTAAAGTTTATGTCTTTTATTTTCTCAATTAGTTTCTTTTATTTAGAATTCTCAGAAATGCCTAATTTCCCAAAATATATGATGCCTTATTAAAATCCAATTAAAAAACATGACTCAAACAATTTTTCAAGAGGGTAGTCCATGAGCAACCCTGATACACAATAGTATGGTTTGTTTGAGGGTACACTATTGTGTCCAGCTGCTTCCTGAGGTTATATTTTTTTTCAAGCATTTCCTTTCCCTTTTCCTTTACTAAAGTTTGTTTCCTTTTACTTAGCTTCATTCTTCTTGGAATCAAAACCAAAGGCTTTCCAAAGGATTAGTTTCAGCCAAGCAAAAAAAAACATGAATGATCCTGATACACAATAGTATGGTTTGTTTGAGGGTACACTATTGTGTCCAGCTTCTTCCTGAGGTGAAAAAACAATCATCCATCCAAGTAATTATTTTAAAGAATATCAAATCTAAATTGATTCACATCTGCTAAATTCAATCTTAGTCCATGCTGCTAAGTTCAATCTCAGTAATTAATTAATTATCTTAGTGCTTGCAACTCTACCCAACCCCATCACTTTCCCAGCCATCTTTTGCCAGTGTGTCCTGCTGATAGTCACATGCTGAGACATTCAAAAATCATTAAGCCTTGCTTAGCTCAATGTAAAAGAAAATCACTCAAGCTTGCTGAAGACCTTAATGCGGAGTGAGGTAGGCAGAATGCTGAGGTCCTGTCAGGGACAAGAAACTGATAGCAAAACTGAAAGACCCATTATTTGACACTAAACTCAGTGATGTTAATGTCCAACATTACCCATTACTTATGCTAAAGTAATCAATTAATTAACTAAATAATTGATTAATTATTGATTCATTAATTAGTTAATTAAGTAATTAACTAATTAAAATATTAATTAATCAATTAATTATTCTAAACTGCAACAACAACCAGCAGCAGTGGCAAAACCACCCACATCACTTCAGAGCTGCACTCATTTTTTTCTGCCAGCTAAGAAATTCTTCACAATGCCTCTGGTATAATTACTCAGGAAGTGACTAAGGCTTCTAATTAACTATATATCTGCTCAGCAGTCATGCACCTGAGTTAATTATACATCCACAACTTCCTTCACTGAGTCCTGAGGCTTGTGATCAATCTGAGGAGACTTTTGCATCAGCTGCCTGAGATCTAGTTCACTCATTTGATGAGTTTCCATGAACTTTCTCAGAGCTTCCTTATTCACAAGATCCTGAGACAGCTTCTGCTCCCAGTAGGACTGAGATCTTTTCACTGAGAGTTGAAGCTCAGCATGCAAAGCCCTGAGCTCACCTTGCTCCTCTTCCATGTTCTTAGCATCTTTCCTGAGCCTAAGCATTGTGAGCTCCTGAGATTCAAGTGCCTGCTCAAGTAGAAGAATCTTGGACTTCATGTCCTCAATCAGGTCAGGTACATTGTCCAAGTCACTGAGCTTCTGATCTGATTCTGAGTTGTCCAGGAGCTTGTCAATCTCATTGATGTTCAGCTTTTGGAGCTCAGACTTGACATAGCCCTGAGCATCATTGGCAGTCCTGATAGGCTGAGGCTTCCAAACTGAGCTTCTCTGCATATTTGATAAAGCAGCATCTAGCACATCGAAGGGCTGATGAGGTCTGCCTGAGCCCTTCCCTGTTGATGAAGAAGCAGTTGCTGCTGAGAATCCAGCTGGTGGATCAGGCTCAGGAGGCTTGAACTGAGCTTGTCTGAACTGAGGAGCTACAAATGCACCCCAAGGCAATGGGTCCATTCTGAGCACCTCAGTGTAATATCTTTGAACCACTTCCTGAGACCAGCCATTGTGTTCCTGCAGGGTTGCAAATGGTGTCCATGAAAAAAATGACAACTATATCAGTTAATTAATGCTCATTGTCCTATGCTAAAACACACAAACACACACCACCAAAAAAAACATCATCCATTTGTTCAACCCAGGCACAGAGCATTCTCTACATCCTGATTGCCAGGGAATTCTGCTGAGGAAGACTTGATGGCCATTGCCACAGTCAACCTTAGGCTCCCTAAGGTATCTAGGATACTCCACAATGTTTTCTGAGTCCATGTTGTTGAAGAGTGCTAAGCATGAGGGTTCCTGAGGTGGATCATTGGGCTGAAGCTGGTAGCGCCCTTGGCCACCCTTCTGAGTCCACAAAACCTTGTCAGGCACCTCAGCAGGCTTCTCTTCAAACATAGGATGAGGTTTGCCTGAGCCTCTCCCATGATAGTCAAAGAAAGACATAGCTGAGATGATATGGAGCAAAGGTTGATTAGTCCTGGCCCTTAGATTTGAGCCTTAAAAAGCTGAGGAATCACATAGACATGCACAAATATGAACATGCTACAACTTCATTGGTTAATTAATTAGCTAATTACTCAATTATAAGAAACTTAAACATGCATAAGCATGCTAATTAATTAATTGATTAATTAATTAATTAATCAAAATTGCCAAAAGTCTAAGATTATGTCCAAGCTGAGCACTAATCCCACACCACCAGAAACACCCTTCAGTCCTCTAGGGCTCTTCAGTCTTGGCCTTCTTGGACTTGGGCTCAGCATCTGAGGATGGATCTGATGCTGAATCATCACTGCTCATAGGCTGAGAGTCTAAGACCTGAGAATCATCAACCAGCTCCTGGGACCCAAAGGGTGTATCTGATGGTGCTTCATCATCACTCCCCATAGGCTGAGAGTCTAAGACCTGAGAGTCCTTAGCCACCTCCATCACCTCATGGTCAGGCTGTGCATTCAACTCCTTTTCCATATCCTGAAACTTGCTGAGGGTAGCATCAAATGTATCAGACTTAGCAGGTTGGGCAGGCTGGGCAGGCTGAGGAAGAGGGATACACTCTGATGGCCAACCATCCTGAGCATCCTGAAGAGCTGTCTTGAGAATCCTAATCCATTGCCCCTGAGTGATCTTTGGGTAACCCTTGAAGTCTTTGAAGATCTGACTGAGTTCATTCCTGAAACTGAGCATCACCCAATCAGGCACAGCATCAGGATCCTCAAGCTGAACCAACTGCTGAGTGTAGTACTTCTGCAGCATGTCCACAAACTGTTCCTGAGAGCACCTGAGCTTCACCTTGATGTCAGCCATCTCAGCTGTCAGAGCCACCACCTTCATGGAGTTGCTTAAAGAACCACCCAAAAATAAAACTCATTAACTAATTCATTAATGGATTTCCCATTGGGAAACAAAAAAACAAATCCAAGCCTTAGGACTCAAAGAGAATTTCTCCAGAGTCAGGATATTCCTGAGGTTGGAAAACCATTCCACAAGATGATAATTGTAGTCCTTCCTGAGCTTGTCCATCTCAGTGTTGAATTGCTCCATGGCTGAGCTGATGGGATGCAAAGAAGCTGGCTAGAATGGGCTTGAGCCTTCACAAGCAAAGAAATAAATCCCCCCATGTGAGATGAAAATGGATTGAAATCAAATGAAAAGCAATTCCTTTGTTAATTAATAAATTAAGTTGAAATCAATTCAAAGTAAAGTGAAAATCAATTGAAAAACAATTTAATTAAACAAATTGAAAATCAATCGAAATTAATTTGAAATCATTTGAAATCAATTGAACATCAGTTGAAAATGAATTGAAATCAATTGCAATCAAAACCAAAGGCTTTCCAAAGGATGAGTTTCAGCCAAGCAAAAAAAAATATGAATGATCATGATACACAATAGTATGGTTTGTTTGAGGGTACACTATTGTGTCCAGCTGCTTCCTGAGGTTATGTTTTTTTTTCAAGCATTTCCTTTCCCTTTTCATTTACTAAAGTTTGTTTCCTTTTACTTAGCTTCATCCTTCTTGGAATCAAAACCAAAGGCTTTCCAAAGGATCAGTTTTAGCCAAGCAAAAAAAAACATGAATGATCCTGATACACAATAGTATGGTTTGTTTGAGGGTACACTATTGTGTCCAGCTGCTTCCTGAGGTGATGTTGTTTTTTAACATTCCCTTTGCATTTTCCTTTGCTAAAGCTTTTTTTTATTTTCTCAATTAGTTTCTTTTATTTAGAATTCTCAGAAATGCACAATTTCCCAAAATATATGATGCCTTATTAAAACCCAATTAAAAAACATGACTCAAACAATTTTTCAAGGGGGTAGTCCATGAGCAACCCTGATACACAATAGTGTGGTTTGTTTGGGGGTACACTATTGTGTCCAGCTGCTTCCTGAGGTGATTGTTTTTTTTCAACAATTTCCTTTTCCTTTTCCTTTGCTAAAGTTTGTTTCCTTTTACTTAGCTTCATTTTTCTTGGAATCAAAACCAAAGGCTTTCCAAAGGATTAGTTTCAGCCAAGCAAAAAAAACATGAATGATCATGATACACAATAGTATGGTTTGTTTGAGGGTACACTATTGTGTCCAGCTGCTTCCTGAGGTGATTTTGTTTTTTAACATTTCCTTTACATTTTCCTTTGCTAAAGCTTTTTTTATTTTCTCAATTAATTAGTTTCTTTTATTTAGAATTCTCAGAAATGCACAATTTCCCAAAATATATGATGCCTTATTAAAACCCAATTAAAAAACATGACTCAAACAATTTTTCAAGGGGGTAGTCCATGAGCAACCCTGATACACAATAGTGTGGTTTGTTTGGGGGTACACTATTGTGTCCAGCTGCTTCCTGAGGTGATTGTTTTTTTTTCAACAATTTCCTTTTCCTTTTCCTTTGCTAAAGTTTGTTTCCTTTTACTTAGCTTCATTTTTCTTGGAATCAAAACCAAAGGCTTTCCAAAGGATTAGTTTCAGCCAAGCAAAAAAAAACATGAATGATCATGATACACAATAGTATGGTTTGTTTGAGGGTACACTATTGTGTCCAGCTGCTTCCTGAGGTGATTTTGTTTTTTAACATTTCCTTTACATTTTCCTTTGCTAAAGCTTTTTTTTATTTTCTCAATTAATTAGTTTCTTTTATTTAGAATTCTCAGAAATGCACAATTTCCCAAAATATATGATGCCTTATTAAAACCCAATTAAAAAACATGACTCAAACAATTTTTCAAGGGGGTAGTCCATGAGCAACCCTGATACACAATAGTGTGGTTTGTTTGGGGGTACACTATTGTGTCCAGCTGCTTCCTGAGGTGATTGTTTTTTTTCAACCATTTCCTTTTCCTTTTCCTTTGCTAAAGTTTGTTTCCTTTTACTTAGCTTCATTTTTCTTGGAATCAAAACCAAAGGCTTTCCAAAGGATTAGTTTCAGCCAAGCAAAAAAAACATGAATGATCATGATACACAATAGTATGGTTTGTTTGAGGGTACACTATTGTGTCCAGCTGCTTCCTGAGGTGATTTTGTTTTTTAACATTTCCTTTACATTTTCCTTTGCTAAAGCTTTTTTTTATTTTCTCAATTAATTAGTTTCTTTTATTTAGAATTCTCAGAAATGCACAATTTCCCAAAATATATGATGCCTTATTAAAACCCAATTAAAAAACATGACTCAAACAATTTTTCAAGGGGGTAGTCCATGAGCAACCCTGATACACAATAGTGTGGTTTGTTTGGGGGCACACTATTGTGTCCAGCTGCTTCCTGAGGTGATTTTTTTTTTCAACCATTTCCTTTTCTTTTTCCTTTGCTAAAGTTTGTTTCCTTTTACTTAGCTTCATTTTTCTTGGATTCAAAACCAAAGGCTTTCCAAAGGATCAGTTTTAGCCAAGCAAAAAAAAACATGAATGATCCTGATACACAATAGTATGGTTTGTTTGAGGGTACACTATTGTGTCCAGCTGCTTCCTGAGGTGATTTTGTTTTTTAACATTGAAATCAATTGCAAGTAAATTGAAATCAATTGCAAGTAAATTGAAATCAAGTGAAAGTAAATTGAAATCAATTGAAAGTAAATTGAAATCAATTCAAAATAAATTGAAATCAATTGAAAGTAAATTGAAATCAATTCAAAATAAATTGAAATCAATTGAAAGTAATTAATTAAATTGAAATCAATTCAAAATAAATTGAAATCAATTGAAAGTAAATTGAAATCAATTGAAAGTAAATTGAAATCAATTCAAAATAAATTGAAATCAATTGAAAGTAAATTGAAATCAATTCAAAATAAATTGAAATCAATTGAAAGTAAATTGAAATCAATTGAAAGTAAATTGAAATCAATTCAAAATAAATTGAAATCAATTGAAAGTAAATTGAAATCAATTGAAAGTAAATTGAAATCAATTGAAATAAATTGAAATCAATTGAAAGTAAATTGAAATCAATTGAAAGTAAATTGAAATCAATTGAAAGTAAATTGAAATCAATTGAAAGTAAATTGAAATCAATTGAAAGTAAATTGAAATCAATTGAAAATAAATTGAAATCAATTGAAAGTAAATTGAAATCAATTGAAAGTAAATTGAAATCAATTGAAAGTAAATTGAAATCAATTGAAAGAAAATTGAAATCAATTGAAAGTAAATTGAAATCAATTGAAAGTAAATTGAAATCAATTGAAAGTAAATTGAAATCAATTGAAAGTAAATTGAAATCAATTGAAAGTAAATTGAAATCAATTCAAAATAAATTGAAATCAATTCAAAATAAATTAAAATCAATTTAAATCTATCAATTTTTTTGATTTTACACTATTCTGTACCCGGTAATTTGTTTTTTCCACACTATTCTGTTACCCAAATTTGTTTGGGGGGGGGGCTCCCCACACTAATCAGTAACCAACATTATACATAATTCCCTTGGTAGTGCTCCTGAAAACTGCACGGAGTCTAACGGGTTCTCACCCATCATTTGATGGGCCACTGGCAAACCCTACAATGTAAGGCAAAAACGGCAAGGAAAAATGGGCGACCAAGCTGGCAAAATCAGCGATGCCAGCAGGGCAACGCGATTGGAATGCAAAGTGCCCAACTGCCGTGGCGAAAAGGCTGTCGCCTCGCTTGCCTGCGAAAAACCTTCCTGCCCTTCGGCAGGGAAGGCGCAGGTAAGGGAAGCAGCCGCCCGAAGGCGACAAGAGTTTGCCCGAGAAAGGCAAGCTTAAACAAAAAAGGCTTCACTCACTCGGGCGCTGGCTGGTGCAAGACGTGGGCGTTGGCACGGCTAGGGCGCGGCGAAGCAGGAGACGTCGTCTGCTGGGGCAAGCGCCGGAGCACGGCTCTTGCGTTTTCTCGCTGCAAGGCCACAGACAAGGCTTGAAGCAGCTGCTCAACGCCCTGGGACGCCGTCAGCCCGATGCAAGCTCCATGCAACGCCCCAAGCTTTTTCCAAGTGGCAGAAGCGGTGGGGCC